ATAAGCCCCTTCCTATTTATTGGTTTACTAATATAGAATGAAAGGTTAGCAATTATTCCATAGGAGCGAAAGACGTATAAAACAATCCTTTCTTTCATGCACTTATCAGGAGTAAGGATAAAAAACAGGCAACATACTAGATAATTGGCATATCATAAATGTTAAAAGGTAGTTGAGTACCGCACGGACTTTGAGCAAATCAGTCACACCAGCTAGGTACGTCAATAAATGAACTTCTATCTAATACCCCTAACCTAACCATAGGCACGATAAAATGCGAGAATATTATCCTTGTTTCCTCATAACAAACGACCTCATTGATTAACCATCTTAAGTTAAGAGTCGATCAAAAAGTATGCAACTCATACAAATACTTCGACCAATTATAAATCCATTATTTCACCATCACCACAAACTAATAATCCTTCATTCATTAATCTAATATATATATATATATATAAGCAATGCAATCCACGTAACCAATTAATAACTATAGACCATAGCATACAAAAAAAAATTAAACTAAAATACAGTACCTTTATATATTGCTTGGGTACATGAAAACTCTAACCTTAGCTCCCTGCAAAAATGGAAGATAATAAATAAATCCACAAACTTCTCTATAAAAATACACTATATACTATCCATCTTTACCAAGCACACAATTAAATTAGTCAAGTATGTATTGTAGTCGAAATGTACCATGGATTTTGGTGGCAGATTGGACTTGAATTTAGCTCTAACAACTCCACTGTTACCATGAGGCCTACAAACTTTACCCCAAATACAACGATAATGCGAGTTGTTCTTCTTAGTTTTCGCCTTGTATACATAAGCCATACGCTTCCCTAAGTACCAATCTACTTCTTCCTTAGTGTTGACTCCCTCGATCTGAACCAATGAAGTGTTTGGATACTGATTCGACTTCGACCTAATTCACAAATTCAAATTCAATCAATCAGCGCCAAATTCGATTTCCTTATATTCGTTCAGCTCTATTCAGAACTATTTCAGTTTAAAATTAGATAATGACGATAAACTAGTTACGGTACCTCTTGTATCCAAGGACCGTTCCTCTAGTGTAGAGTCTGGATGAAGAAAATAGCAAAAAAAGTAGTGAATATGTGATTTCACAAGCAAATTTTATGAAAATGAGAGTGTCATTGAAGATGATTCAGTACCTTACACGCTCTCCTTGGCGTCCCTTCACCATTTTCGACTCTGGAGCTGTAAACTGGAGAAGAATACTGAAACCCTAGACTGCTGGTATTTACCGAATGAGGAATGGGCTTGTAGCCCAGTAATATAATCTTTTGGGCTTCGACTAATTTGGGCCAAATTGAGAAGAAGGAAGTCAGGTCTTTTGTTAGTTTAAAACCCTAACAAACAAATTGAAACAAAAAAAGTACTATATCGTTAAATCGATTAATTAAAACAAAAGAAATACTATATATCGTTAAGGAAAAAGTAAACATTGGATTTAATCGATTAGTCGTATAGTGATCCTAGTTTGCATGCAAAATACGTAATTTATATGTGGAATGTGAGTTGATACATGCGTTGATGAAGGATATTTTTTGTACACACTCAACCTATTTGAAGCACCATTGTGCTCACATGATCACCGGGGATTTTTACCAACGAATAAGGGACACGTGTCCAAATCATTTTACTTTTTAAAATTGAGTTATGCACATCTAATTGTGCATAATGAAGTTGCTCTGATTTGAAGCACTAGAGATTATATCTTGCCCTAGTTACTTAATCACGTGCAACTACTTTCGTAGAACATTCGTTATTCCTTTTCGTTAGCTCTTCAACCTTTCTATCTTTTTATTTGTTTGTTCGTTATTCCTTTTCGTTAGCTCTTTAACCTTTCTATCTTTTTATTTGTTTGTTGATCTAATCATTCGACGCTCGGTAAAAGGGAAACCTTCAAACTTTTCAAACATTCCTTAGCTCTTCAAGCTTTCTATCTTTTCATTTGTTCGTTGGTCTAATCATCCCACACTAGATAAAGGAGACACCTTCCTAAGAAAGAAATTTTTTCAAACTTCCAAAAAGTAAGACAATTTAATTCCATACAAATGGGACACGTGGGGGATTGTGTGTAAGGAGGATTTACTCAACTTAAGTAAATCATAATAAAACAACAATGAAAAAGAAATATATTAGAGAAAGGCATTAAACCGAGGAAACCATTCTGCAAAAAAGGCAAAATTAAAAACTGGATATATCGAAGATTTAAAGAACAAAGAGAACGAAATGATTGTATGTAGAAACTCCAAGAACAAAATTAGACATCTAATCAGATGTTTCAACTCATTGGTGTTTCCAAGTACATGGTAAACAAATAGAATAGAAATGTAATTCCACATAGCCCAAAACAAGTTATGTCCAACTACTTTAAAAGATTCAAATCCTTCATAACTAATGATAGACAAATGTAGGGGATCCAAGCATATGCGTCGACTTGGTACCTTGCTGCAAGAGTAAATATACATAATCAGATTACTTCAAAAAGGCGTCAACGGGTAAGAATACAGGAAGAGAATTGTAAATAGCAGTCGCAACAGTGTAACATCATGTTAAAAGTCTGATTTTACGGTAACATCTCGTGGCAATCACAGGACATTTTGAAACATTTAGGATATCTGATAATCATAGCTTCATACACTATAAAGGGTAAGAGGAAAATCCATCTTCAAAAACAATATTCCAGTGCACAGGTTAAATACTACATGCGGTAGCAAGATAATGGTGAAAGCAATTTCTATATCATTAAATCTACGATGATAGCAAAATTCAAATACAGCTCTAGAACACCTTCCATCCCTTTTCCACACTATCCAGACAGAGGATTCACAAGTGAGCATCTGCTTAAAGCTTCTGTGCAAATTTTTCTTTGCATGCTTCATGAGGGGATGGAAGTCTTTACAATATTTTGTTGAAACATATGACATTGAAGACCCTATAGTTTATCCGATACAGCAAAGATAACCATCTTTCTATGTCTTGCCTCCTGATTTCTCATAATTTCTGAATGGACACAGGTAAACAGAGGTAATCGATGTTTGCTTAAAAGGCCACAAAAGGACTCTACAGTGCTAAGTTGCCAAGTAATTTTTGGTTATGTGGAACGAAAGAATAGGAGATTATTCCAAAGTAACACAAGAAGGATCAAGTGATCTTCAGTTCATGCACTTTATGATGTAACTTGTAAGGAGGAAAAAGGGAAGTACAGTAAATGTTTGGCATAGCATCAACATAATCTTTAGTTTAGTAACCCCCCCCCCCACCCACACACACACAACACACACACAGTGAGTAAATATGGTAAGCACTGCCAAAAATATGGTTATTGGGGTTAGAATTTGAGGCATCAGGTTATACGACACCAGATAGGTGTGTAAATGAATGAACTTCCATCACCACAAACTCAATCCTTTATTCATTAATCTATGTCCAAAAATTTAAGCAAATGTAGAAAAATATTATTAACAACAACACCAAACTAAAACTAATACTCTGAGAAACGTAAGCCTAAGTACTTGACTACATACTAACCTTCTACCCTACATAACACATTAATCACTATAGATAACACATTAATCACTATGGAGTATAGCACATAACATATCAAAAAAACAAATTTTTTTGGTCATATCAAATATTTAAATAAAATATAGTACCTTATATGTTGCTTGGGTACATGAAAACTCTAACCTTAGCCCCCTGCAAAAGTGAAACACAATCATAAATACAAAATCACCACCTGATAAGCAAATAAATTCAATTACAAACAATTGTAGTCGAAATGTACCATAGACTTTGGTGGCAAGTTGGACTTGAACTTAGCTCTAACAACACCACTGTTTCCATGAGGCCTACAAACTTTTCCCCAAATGCAGCGATAATGTGAGTTATTCTTCTTTGTTTTTGCCTTGTATACATAAGCCATACGTTTCCCTAAGTACCAATCTACTTCCTCCTTAGTGTTAACTCCCTCGATCTGAACCAATGAAGTATTCGGATACTGATTCGACTTCGACCTAATTCACAAATCAACATTCCATCAATCAATCAGCTGCAAACTCAATACTTCAGTTTACAATTATACTGAAACATTAAATTAGTTATATTACCTCTTGTATCCGAGAACTGTTCCTCTTGTATAGAGTCTGGATGAAGAAAAAGGCAAAAAAAGTAGTGAAAATATGATTTTATAAGCGAAATTTATGAAAATGGAATTGCAAATGAAAATGATTCAATACCTCACACGCTCTCCTTGGCGTCCCTTCACCATTTTCGACTTTGAAGCTGCAAACTGAAGAAAATCTCTATAATGGAGAAGCCTAAAACCCTAATTGCCGAGGGAGAAGAGAGAAATTTATATTTAGCGAATAAGAGATGGGCTTGAGGCCCAAGTTGTTTTAATTCATTGGGCTTGACTTATTTGGGCCGGATTGAGAAGAAGAGGAATCTAACTCATTTGCACTTTTATCGCTCCGGAGAAATATCTTTTTTACGGGATATGATATATTTCATATCATAATATCTCACAAGTTATGAGTTCCGCCTTTAAAGATTTTATGTGTGATAGGTATAAGTTCGTATTATAAAGACAAAATTAAAAATCAACCTATTTAAAGGACAATTCGTGCAATTAAATACTTCTGAATTTGTCCATCGAACCACTTATATTAATAATTTTTTAATAGAGAATGTGTATAAAACATATATTATCATGTATAATAAGGCATGCAACAACTAGAAAAAATGAATAGTGAATAGATTAGATTATTTGTGTAAAAATCCAAAATATATCAACCATTCCTTTATAAATTTTACTTGTCTTTTCGAATTGAATATTTGAACACATTACAAAGTAAGTTTTTATTTGTATTGCATAAATACAGAATGCTTTGTGCACCGTCAATTTAACTGTAATTACTCAATGGAATCAAGTCATGATGCTTAAAACACAATACAAGGAGAAATCACAATACTCAATAGTAGTCAAATGCTATTTCACATATCAATGTATACATATTTGTACACCTTTCTCAGAGTTTAAAAAAATAATAATCAAGAATACACTTCATTAAAACTGAATAATTTAACATTTACATATAAATGACCCCCCCCCCCCAAAAAAAAAAAGATGGGTAAATTATCACTCAAATAGTGAAAAAAAATAAAATTATAAGTCAGCAAATACATGGTATGTTGTGGAGTCAACTGTGATGAATCTCAATGCAGCTACAAATGCAGCAACTGCTATGCAACTAAAGAAAATAATATTGAGCCAATGCCAACTCTTCTTTAAAAATGACAACTTTTTTCTCTTAGCAACAATGTACATGTGATTTGGAAGTATAAATGTGAGTGGAAATGTACTGATAGCCCCAGCAAGGTTCATGAAGTCTCCCAAAAAAGGCAAAAGAGCAGACAAGAAAGCTGTAATGGCTATATAACCACCTCTAACAATGATTCTGAAGGCCAAGTTTTTACAAGCCAGTGCACTTCCTGTAACTCCATACTTGGTATCCAAGAACTCGTATGTCGGACTCGCAAATATCTAGGATCATAAATAGAAGCAAATTAGAGATATTATAGAGGGACTAAACAAGTGCAATCCAGTGCACGAAGCATCCCAAGTTCATGCAGGGTTTGGGGAGGAGTCGTGCCACAAGAGGGTATATGATGTAGGTAGATTATCTTGACACAAGCATAAGTGGTTGATCCCATGGCTTGAACCGGTGACCTATAGGTCAGACAGAGACAACTTTACCGTTGCTCCAAGGCTTGCCTTCTTATCTGGAGAAAAAACTTAACGACACCTGGTGTTTACACCAAACTCCAAGGCTTGAACTGGTGACTTATAGGTCAAACGGAGACACCGTTGCTCCAAGGCTTGCCTTCTTATCTGGAGCTGGTGTTTACACCAAACTACATTTCCTTTTTTTACCATGGTTAGTAGTAATAGAAGATGAGATGAGAATCGGTATTAGTTAACTGATAACATTTCTATATATAAAGACGCATGTTAGTGAATCTATTGTGTTGGTGTAAATACCAGATATGGCTAGCCTTTTTTCTTGTTTAAATAATGTAACATGAAAATAGCTGTATAAAGACTAAAAGATCAGAGCAGGGTGTAATTACATGCAACGCGATGATAGATTGCAAGAAAGCAGCAATGTTAGCCATTCCCTTCAACCAAATTGGGCCACTAACATTGTTCAGCAAATAGGAAGATGCACTTGATCCATAAGCCCAATATCCAATGTACGTAACAGCATGCATTGGAATAACTCCTAAAGTGAACTGAAAGTTAAGGGCTTTTATCATGTTATTGACAACTGGTTCTCTCACAGTGGCCTACATGAAAGACACAAGAGATTACGAGAGTTGAAAAACAATGATCAACAACAAGAAGAAGATCGCTAGTGTAGTCCCACAAGTGAGAGGTCGGGGGAGGGTAGAGTACATGCAGACCTTACCCCTACCTTGGGAGGTAGAGAGATGACACCTGCAGCTGATTATAGAAGTCAAAACATATCATACCAAATTTCAATTATCAACTCATGAGCCGTAATTCGATACTTTGATTTCATTATAAGTCAGGCTTGCTGAGCAAAAGATAATATGCATAAATAAAGTCTATCGATTTATAGGTCAGTTACCTGTATCTCGGGAAGCATTCCTGTGTTATACGCAAAAACAAGGTTAGCAGCAGCACCAATTGTTGCCCAAGTCTTACTGTTTTTGGTTCCTGGAATGCTATAGTCTCTAGGAGGTGCCTCAAGACCTGCAGTTCAGGATATTCAGAAAGGATGAACCAAGATGGCATTCCTCTTTGAGGAAGCAAAATCTGCGGGTGCAAGGCTATGCTTTCAGTTCCAGGCAAATATGATTTCATGCAGACAGGTTGCTTAATTTATAAAACAAGCCCTGATGCTATGTGTAAGAGGACTAATATTTCGTAAAAATGTTTAAAAAAGCATAATCAGAGATAATGTAATATTGTGTGACAAATGGTACCAAGATACCCCTACCCCTCGATACCCAAAATTAGGAGCAAGAATCAGTTTTTCATCAATCTCCTAACTGGAGGATTGGGAGAACCTAGCAGGCAAACCCCACACTCATACACTAAGATACAATCAACTTTACTTTTCAACAATAATGTATAGCAAGAAGGAATAATTACCAGAAAGTACCATCAGTTAGATTAACAGTATGCATATATTGAAAATTTAAATTTGCGTTTGACTCACCGTCTTTAAGAGACAAAGCAATCACTATACAGATATAAACTAGACTGAAGAATGTTGAAAACCCCAGCCAAATCCTTAAAGCTGACAAATGGGGTATAGCAATGGCAAAAAGGACACACGCCAACCCAGCCACTGCAATGAAGTGTGGCAATTTCATTTGATGGTCATCCCTAAAGAGAACATAGAAAGCCTGCGATCAAGTTGTCAGAATCATCCCATCAGAAAACAAAAAGAATCTGAATGGAATCGTATTCATATGTATAATTCTGCTTGGACATCAATCTAAGTACTAATGCATATTACTATTACCTTTAATGCTTGTCCACCCAAAATGACATATCCAGTATTTATCAAGAAAAGATTTGCATACTGGGATGCCCAGACAAGTGAATAGGCTGTCTGTCCTGTAGCAAACAAAATCCCATTCAGCTAAACCAACGGAATCAAAACCATATAAATCATAAAAGAAGCGTAAGAAGCTTCTATGTATTTGATAAGTTTTCAGCAACACATACCATACATGAATCCCGCAAGGTCTCTATATCTGATATGCCTCCTTCCTCCATATTCATGGAGCTTAGCAATAAGAGTACTAGCATAGAGTGATATAGCTGATGATAAAATCAAACCAACCACACCACCAACCCAACCTAGAGGAACCATAATTAGGCCAGCATATCCGAGAGCAAAGGCACTGTTAATACCAGTGCTCAAAACAACTCCTACCTGAAACCATGAATCTGCAGCTTGCACAACAGGTAAAATGATCACAATCTACTATAGATCAGCAGACAATTTATCGCAAGAATCATAATTTGCAAATATCATATTGTAATGTTCTTGGCACCTTTTTCTTCTGCTCATATACATCTTAATAGGATTGAAGATAACAAAAGTACGAAATTTTGCTGACAAACTCAAAAATCTTATTTTACCTCATATTTGGTAACTCAATTCTTGTACATTAATCACACGGGGAATGAAAACATTACAATCTATGTAACTAGTAGGTACTGCACCATGTCTATGAATTATACAAGTGTATCACTTGGTTTGCAGTTTATTAACTGGATAAAAGTGAATGGAAATGTTATCCAGAGATGCAAAGGTGGAATCAAGATTCGAACTTTATGACTCAAGTTCGGGATTCACCACACACCATTTAAATCTACTGGGATTGAACTCATTAGTTTTGTCTCAAGGCCTGTATTTCAATATGTATAACTAATCTATCCAGAACCAAGGAAGCAAAAAATATTCTGATTCAGAAACTATATATCGAAAATCCTCGCTCCACCTCTAATCACAAGACTTGTCATACAAAAAAGGTGCATTTGAAATTAACCTCACAGAAACATGAGTGTGTTATGCAGAAAAGAAGACATTAATCTTGCTTACTCATTTACATCATTAGGGGTCTAATTAAAGCATCAAACTCGTTAAGGTAAAATATCTCATAATTAAGCCTACAATAAATTTACTATCATAAATCACCTTATCCAATCCAACTTGGAATTAAAGGGAGCTACGTCTGAGTTAAACTTGGAGATAGAAATCTTCTTTCCTTTCTCAAACGGTGAAGTAAGATCAAACTCATTAGCTTATTATCCTAGATCGAACAAGTTGATAGAACCCCTTTTTTACGTCCCATCTTGTTCAAAAATATCATTGACTAATTAGGTATGCTCTGTTTAACAGCTTAAGCTTTTAGATTAGATAGTCACACATTTCAATATGATATCAGAGCAGGTCGAATCTCATCGACACTCAAAGAATTTCCACGTGTTTGACCAATAATAATAACATATCATACATTTATGAATATAATCTAAGTATGAATCTAAAAACCCAAAAAGAGTATTTTATAAAAGAAAGAGACCATTACTAACTTGATGTGCAGAACTAGGAATATGAATAGCCAATTCATCATCATTGTGCACATTTGGTAGAAGTGGATGATGAAACGACGTCGTTGCCATGAAAATTTCAAAAAAAAGGGCTAAACAGCAAAAGCTCAATTCTCTTTCAGCTATGGCTTCCTCTGTTAATTCAATTATAGTGAAATGGGTATGGGTTTTTCCTATTTGTAATTGCAGATATTATTTGCCATTGTTGTCCCACTTGCTTCCTCCATGATATCACTGCACAGTGATGGGTGATTTTTGATAGCTTGGAATGTTAGTTTTATATTAATCCTCGCTCGTGACCGAGTTAGAATTTTCACCAAAAATTTCAGATTAAAATAAATAAACTGAAAGCAGAAATTCGAGATTCAACCCCTCTCTCTATATATAAAATAAATTGTTTTAGTTATATACATATTTTTTCGAATGAATTTCTCAATTTTATTTGACTTCATATGTGTATATTGTTATCTATTACTTTTTCAGTTATTGCGTACGTTTGTAAGGTCTTTATACGGTTGATTCAATAGAAAGCATTTTCGTGATTTAAAGTTAAAAATAAATATAAAAGGTTTTGATTTATGGTATTTATTTGAATTATTGTATCTGTTAAAATTTAATAAAAAAATAAAGTAGATTTTGATTTATATAAGCAGTTGGTATAATTTTTGTTTTTTTATAAATATTTATAATAATTTTATTATTATTAAAAACTAAATAATTTTTAAGAGAGAAGCGTAAGTGAAAGCCTATAAGGTTGCTTCTATTTTTAATTGATTGCGGTTGGCGACATAAAATATCATGTACAAACATTCTTTGTTATTTAATGGATCATCAACAAATTTTTTTTGGTTACCTAATATCTTTGATGTGACAATTTCAATATTTTATTTGAGTCTAGAATATAATTATTTTTATTTTATGTTTTTAAAAAAGTCTTATACAATATTTTGAATTTTTATATATATATATATATATATAACAAAAAGAATCATTTTAAACGTAAGTTGATGTCACACCTAAGAGTGGCCATAAATAATAAAAAAATGAATCACCAAATTAGGATGCACTACTTTAACAATTGATTTGTAGTGAATTAAGGGCATCTTTCACGTATATCAAATAAAAAATTTATATTTGTATGTTTGCATAATTGTGCTTCATAGCAAACATAGAAATTGAATAATTCGTTATATATATACAGTTGAAGCAAATTGTATAAAACAAGAAGGAGAGAAATTAGATTCAATTTGAAAATTGTATAAAACGAGAAAGAGAGAAAGACAAAAGAAACTGGGCAGGGGAGTATTTTTATTGTATAATTATAAGTGTATAGGACGAAAATATATATACTTGCATGTTTATATACAATTTTCTCACGCTTTATACAAACAGAAATGCAATTTATACATTTCGATTTTGTTTGTATAAGTGAGAAAGGCGAAGGTGGCGAGCGAGTTTTGGGAGAGTAGCGAGCGAGGTCTGGAAGAGGGGAGAGAGGGGAACAAAAATATATGTATTTATATAATTTTCTCTGCTTTATACAATTGGAAACAATTTTCATACACTTGTATTTGTATAAAAAGTGAGGAAGCGAGCGAGATTGGAGGAGAGTGGCGAGCGAGATATCTGGGAGAGAGGCGTCTGGCAATTTTTTGCAAACGTTTGCTATGGAGCACAATTAAATCAAACCCTAGCTACTCCATTTATTTTAGGTTATTAGTTTGCTATTATATACAATTTTCCCGTCAATTAATTAACGATAATAGTTCAATTATCGTTATATGTGTATTTTTAGCGACAATTAACACTCTTTATATATATGTTTCTAAAGCATTTAACAACATTGAAATTAATGACACTTAACTGATGTCGATAAAGAGTTTAGCGCTCTTCATTGATGTGTCTATTTATTGTTGCTAAAAGTTGCTTTTATTATAGTGATGTATCTTAACCGTTTGAATTGTATTTTCTTTTAATTACCTAATTATTGAAATTAAACTTTAAAAATATCAAATCAAAAATTGAACATCCACCACCTATAAATTGTTTACCATATATATAGATAGCATTAACGAGTGATTTGATGTCTTGATTGACATATGTCAACAAATTAATAATGTTAGAACTCGAGAATTGATATCTAACCTATATACATTGTTTCTCCAAAAGCTAGCATGTCAAATATTGGACAAATTATGAATATGTCTTATCAAATAGTTTTTCTTTCATATGTAAGTATCGAATTAAAGTTTGATTTATCATATCGAAATTTAATTTACTAATATTTGATATCTACTTTCAGCTATCGATCAAACTGAATTTGTTAATATCAAACCAAAGTCACACCAATTTGTCCTTATTTCTCTGTTATTCTTAAATTCTTTATCGAGTCAAAATTATAACACATAAATTGAAACGGACGAAGTATACGATGGTTTACGCATTCATATCCACTAATATTTATTGTCAGGTTACATTAGAATCACATCTTTTTTCAGAACTACAAGAAGCAAAAGAAGATGTTGAGATGAGGAGATAACTTATTTTGAGTTTGTATAAAGGATTCTAGGTGCAACACATGGGGTCTGTGTAATCCCGCGAATTGAGTCTGTATGAGGAGTGTAGAGTATACGTAAACCTTATCCCTACCTTGAGAGATAGAGATATTGTTTTCGATGAAGTCAATTTACTTAAACACCATTATGTTGACAACATATTGTAGTGGGAAAATGGCACAAGCAATATATTATGAAGATATAGGTTATGACTGAGTACAAGGGCGTAGCTAAGGGTGGTAGGTTATGACTGAGTACAAGGGCGTAGCTATGTATACCTAAGGGTGGTTAGTTTGAACACTCTTTATCGAAAAATGACTTCAACGTGTATAGGTCAAATATCACTTTTCATATCCTTGAACGTCCTTTACAAAATGTCTGACTTGGCTAAGTTATCAATGAAGGGCATGTGAATTTGAGAGTCGTTTTAAGAAAATTGAAAATGTGTTCATTGATCAAACACGCGTTAAGGTCCTCAAGTTTACAACACGAAATGATGAACATGATCTCCTTCCCACATTTCATCCAAGTGATCAATATGAATCGGTTTGATGATATATATTTTTTCATCCAATTTACAAACATACATATACCTCTCTGAGGCCGGGGACTTGAGTAAATTGATATTAACTTGAACGTTAAATGAATAAGACGAGGGACATTCCCCTCGATGTTATGGCACAGGAAGTTACAAATCAGCAAACGTATGGTAGGTTTTCGAGTCCACTGCTATAAGCCTGAAAGCAGCTACTAATGCAGCAGCAGCTAAGGCGCTGAAAAAGATAATGTTGAGCAAATGCCAACTCTTCTGTAGTGAAGATAGATTCTTTTTCATGGCAATCATATACATGTGGTTTGGAAGAATAAACGTGAGTGGAATCGCGCTGATAGCACCAGAAAGGCTCATGAAATCTCCCAAGAAAGGTAATAGGGCAGATAGGAAAGTAGTAAGCGCGAGATAACCTCCTCTGACTAGAGTTCTGAATGCCAGGTTCCGAATAGCAAGTGCACTTCCTTTGATGTCGTATTTGGTATCCAAGTACTCATACGCTGGACTTGCAAATATCTATAATGAACAAAAACAAGGCAATGCAACATGAGGACAGCGCGATCATATACTGTCAGTGTATAAAAGTTAAAACTCAATACTATAAGATCAGCAACGCGAAAGGAGTAATACATGTAAAGCTATGATGGCTTGCAAGAATGCAGTAATGTTGGCGAGTGCCTTAGCCCAAACTGGACCGCTGACATTGTTGAGCAAATAGGACGTTGAACTGGATCCATACGCCCAGTATCCGACATAAGTAACAACATGAACAGGTACAGATCCTATACTAAACTGAAAATAAAGGGCTTTCAACATGTTGTCCACAGTAGGTGCTCTCACAGTAGCCTGAAAGATTTAACGAAACTCGTCAGAATCAAATTATAACATCACGTGAAAATGATTCGTCGTGTAAAATACTTCAAGCAGAGGTCATAGTCTAAATAGAGCTGAGTTCATCAACAACAACATACTCAGTGTAGTCGTCCACGCAAGTGGGGCCTCGAGAGGGTAGATCGTCCATAGACCTTACTCCTTACTCCTACCTAAACTGTTTCTGATAGACACTCGACTCAAGGAAAGCAAAAACACAACATTTACGAAGACATTAATACCTGGATCTCTGGAATCATTCCTGTGTTGAATACAAAAATAAGACTTCCAGCTGCACCAGCAGTTGTAAAAACTCTGCTTATTTTCGATCCCGGAATACTATAATCTCTAGGAGGAGAATTAATACCTGCAATGTACCAACAACAAAAAACTCTGGTTATATACATATAATGCAACAACATCTACGCGTAACGCGAAGATAATACATTTAACTGTTACATTTTGTATGCATACCATCTCTAAGAGCCAACACAAAGACTATAGTGAGATAAATTAGACTGAATGCAGATGAAATCGCCAGCCAAACTCGTAACGATGACAATGTAGGAACAGCAATGGCGAATAACACGCATGCTAATCCAGCAATTGCGATGAAATATGCTAGCTTCATCCGATGATCGTCCTTAAAGAGAAGATAGAAAGCCTGCCAATTATACACACACAAAAAAAAGAAAAAAGTTGTTTCAGAATTAACATTTTCTGGATGTGTGAGGAACATTACGAAGGACGGGTCAATCAAAGAGAAGGACTGACAAACTTATAGACGTATAAGTTTCATAAGAAGAGGTGCATATGACACTTTCGACTGACAGACGTATAGGTTGACAAATAAGACGAATATAAGTTCACATGGTACGCCCGCTTCTGGGCTCAATGTGGCATAACTCGAGGGACTAATCCGTGAGGTCTACACAAAACGTACGATATGATCTTGGATGCTAGGCTATGTTGCTCACACTATTCAAAATGTGATGTGTTCACTACATCAAAAACGACTATCAGCGGCAATTAAGAGCGGCAATTAATACTCTTTGTATATGTCACTAAAGTTTTTAGTGATATTGGTTCTAATGACACTTAACTAATGCCGGTAAAGACTTTACCACTCTTTATTAATGTCAATATTTATTGCCACTAAAAGTTGTTTTATTGTATTGGTTGCATATGTCAGATTCATCGAAAGTAGTCCATTTGTGAAGTACTGTCTCGATGTTGTAACATTTTTGAAGAGTGCGAGTAACACCGACGGAAGGTAGGGGAATGTATCATATACCTTTAAGGCCTGTCCACCTAAAATGATAAATCCAATATTTATCAAGAAAAGATTAGCATATTGCGATGCCCACACAATTGAATAAGCTGTACGGCCTGCAATATTAACAAAGTCAAAGGAATTAAAATCTTATAAACATCAAATGTATGTTTGGTTTTGATTCGGTTCACACAAATATTTATAACTTATTTTATATTAAAAAAAAATTCAATAGTTCTCCTTTATTTATTAAGAGTTGATGATCAAAAAACACACGTGAAATATCACATTTTCACGAGTTTTCTACATGAACTATTAGGTGAAACACTTTTCCTACCAAAACTATTTAGTATGAACTATTTATCAAAACACATCTGCATTATGAGTTGTTCCCTTTTACTACTTGACTATCACTATCGTTTAAGTAGGAAAAGGAAACAAAAGATAGTTGATGTGTGCCTTGATAATAGTTGGCGATAGTTTAGGTAGAAAATATGAATACTGATAGTTCAAATACACGAAACTCGCAAAAACATACTCCCTATGTTTCATAAAAAAAAAATGATCCAATTTTACTTGACACGAAATCCAAGAAAATAAAGAAGGCTTTAGATCAATCTTATGGTCATAAATTAAAGTTATGTCACACGTACCAAAATGTCTTTTTAATCTTATGACTTTAAATATGTCACGTAAAAATATGATTGTCAAAAAAAAAGGGTGTTACTCTTTTTTAAACTGATCGATAAAGTGATACTTTATGTCTGTCATGAGTTCTACCATGAAATTTCGTATTCAATCAAATACCGTCACGCGATCGTACTTACCATACAAAAATCCTGCAAGATCTCTGAATCTAATATGCCTTTTTCCACCATATTCATGAATCTTGGCCATAAGAGTACTTGCATATAATGAAATGAGTGTTGATAAAACAAGACCAATAACACCACCAGTCCAGCCAAGAGGAACCATGATTGTGCCAGCATATCCTAGTGCATAGGCACTGTTGATACCAGTGCTCAAAACAATTCCCACTTGAAACCATGAATCTACATTTTTTTTTTCAAAACACACACATCATTTGGTTTTGAAAACATTATAATATTATCGTATCAATTTAATTCGGTATGATTCGGTACATTGAAGTTCAATTTTCAATATTCTAAGGTAGGGTAAATCAATAATCACAGTTTGTTCAACTTTAACCAGTATATCTATACTCGTAATAAAGTATTATGACTTCGATAATTAAAAAAATGTCAAAGATATATTACACATGTAGAAATATATATTCTGTATAAATAACTCTTTTTATTAATCATGATCAGTTAAAATTCAAAGTACATATTTATCAAAATAGAATAGTGAAACTTTCACATTATATATATGTAACTATATACTTCGGTGTATTATTTCTAAATACCAAATATTATATCGAATATCAAATAAATAAAAAATATACATCATATACCATATCAAATACTATAATACCAAAACTATGATAATAAAAATTCCAATTTGATATGATAATTCGGTATATACCATATCATGTTCACTCCTAATGTTAACGTATTGTCACAATTTGATTTAAGTTCTCATTTAACCATAGATTTTGAAGTTAAAACTTAAAGAAATTGAGTTTTTTAAATAATAATTTAGCCAAACGTATCTTAAACGAAAGTCATAAATCCAAACTTATTTATTTTAAAAAATAATTATGAGATTTATTTTTATTTTTTATTTATATATTTTTATCGATTCTATTCACTTGATTAAAATTAAAAGCCAGAACAATAAAGATTAATAACAAATTATAAGTTAGAAAAAAAAATCTATTTTTATTTTAGGAAAAAAATATCAAGGAGAAACACTATTATGTTTCTTATAGAACCAAACTCATGGATGTAAGTTAATGTTTGATTTGATTTTGTTTAAAAGTAATAATTGAAAATCAATTAAATTAATTTAATGCAAATAAAAAAATCAGTCAAAATCAAATCACCATCACCCCTACATATAATAATTGTCGTCTTAGTTTTTTTTTTTTAAAAAAAGTCAATTATTTTATACGATGAATTTAATTTAGTAAAACGACTAATAATATTTACGATAAAATATAACGATTTTGACTATGATGTATGTTTTAATTTTTATGAAGAGTTCAATTTTGGTCAGCAGGTCAACATGACCGTCTTTCTATAACTATTCATATTTGTCCACATTTCGAAAACCATAACTATAGTACGTTCTCTGTTTCATATTATTTGACCTTTTTTGTCAAATTATCACATGACTTATAAATATAATAATTGAAATATATTTTATTAAATTAATTCTATTAATAATATGTTAATTATTGCTATATAATATAATTATTTGATACTAAAAATAATATGGAAAAAAGAAAGACACTCTTTAATTTGCTCATAAAAAGTAAAATAAAATGTCAATTTTTTCTATTGAAATTGCGTAAAATAAAATAAGAGTGAATATATAGTAAGTCCATAAAAGAGGAGACTCCAATGGAAAAGATATTTATAGATTTGTATTATCAAATTGTTGACATTTACTATTTGGACTAAATTAGTTGGCAAATTTCTATATAATAAGTAATATATTATAAAATATGATTATTATAAAAAAGAAATAATCGAATAATAATATTGAAAAAGATTTTTATAGATTTAAATAGAATTAAATCGTTGATTTTTACGATCAATCAAACAAAAGTTGATAAATTCCTAAGCATCCTCATTTGATATTAATAATAATGATAATAATAATTTATTTGTAAGCAATTTTTGTCTTTAATTTAAAATCACATAATTTAAGTAATGCGATAATAAGATTCAAAAGTTTATTAAAAATATAAATTATAAAATATAACTATTACATAAAAAGTTGACGTAAGACTTCAACGAAAAGATCATTAAAAGAATATATAATCAAATTGTTGACTTCTAAGATCCCAATTCCCAGGCAATTTGATTCAAAATAATGAATAATTTTGATGTTCCATGTTATTTTTTTACGTTATTTAAAATAATTATTTTAATAACTTACTTGTTAATTTATAACATGTTCACGTTATTCACACTAATTATTTTAAATAGGTTACTTGTTAATTTATTAAATCAAAAGAGAAGTAGTCGTTAAAAATTATAATTTATTTTAATAAATTTATAAAATTCGATAAAAATATATTTAAGAAGTAAATTAGTGAAACATTATGAATTAAACCTATATTCAGTAAAAAATAATTATAATTAGTAAATTGTTTCTTTATTAGAGAAAATGTATAAGTATCCCCTAAATTATGACTGAAATTTCAGAAATACACCTCAATTAAACTAAGATCATATTACCCTTTCCTTTTTTTTTGTAATTTTGTGCACCTTTTTGGTTTTCGTGACCATCCAAATATCTATCATGCGTTTCAATTACGTGGAGTCATAGAGTGTGTCACGTAAGACAAAAAATGTAAAAATTACAAAAAAAAGAAGATCAAAAAATAATAAAACCTTATTTTTAGTTGCTAAAAAGTAAAAAAGATAAATCGAATTAGTTTTAACCTTTCAATAATTTTAGTTATTATCAATCTGAAGTACTTGAGAGTATTTCAACCGGATGAATTCTAATGAAAGAATAATTAAGTCATTATTTCAATAACTTTTTTTAAAGAGAAACTTATTAAGACATGACTTATATTTTCTGTCAATCATGGTATATATACGAATCTATTAAAAATTTTAACGAAGTTGATTGAAAATTACGAACTTATACATCATATCGGATAAAAATTACCTGTTCCAATTTGATGAAGAGTTTGAGGAACTTCAACTTCTAAAGCCACAATATGATGATGATCCATTTCTTGTGGATTTGAAGGACTTGAAATTACTGGCATTTCCTCCCTATGTTCAATTCTATTCATTTTTTTTTTCTAAAAAAAAATAAATCATTTTCTTAGATAAATTTTCAATGGAAAATTCCAAAAGAAAGTTGTATTTTAGATATATGAATGGCTGAATGATGTATTTATTCACAATTAGTGGTAGTTGGAAGTAGGACATTTTGACTATATATATTGAGTAGATAGATTATTTCTTGTTTTTTAATTAAAAAGTACAAAATAATTGTTTCTTATTTCTTTTTCTTTTTTTCCGTCCAGCTCTATACTAATTTTTAAGTCGATTGTGACGAACATGACAGAGGACAAGCTAACGAGGAGGAGTATAAAGACGAGAAATCGTTTGAAGGCGTAAAGTCAATACTGTAACAAATAAAGAATTTTGTGGTAGTTATTTAACGGTAACAGTAAAAAGTGTTATTAAATTATATTTAGCGTGAAATTATATAATACAGATATTTATAGCAAGTAATCTATATACTATCACTAATATCTCTTTTATTGTAGTGAAAGAGGCTTTTCACATAATCGTCACGTTGCGATAGTCAATTCATAAGATTTGTTGGGCCAATATGAGCAAATATATGTATCATTTAAGATTTTGCACGATTCTTAAAAAAGACAAATATTACCTTTATCGTATGAGTATATATTTAACTAATGAAGGATATAATTTATTATCACTTATGAGTTCACTCAAATCTAATATTTTGACAAAAGGATATATTGATATATTTGGGTTGTTTTCGTAATGATTTTTTGATGATAAAAATTAAAGTGAGTATAGTCAAAGAAATTAGGCCAAAATTGGTATTTTTCCTTAATTAAATACCTATATCCTTTCTAAAGCCGTCCTAAAGATAATTAATTACTACATGAAAAATATGAACGGAAGGTTTACAAATATATCATTCGATCAACTAGTTCTTTCGTACTTATATTTTATATTTGATAATATTTTTCATGTAAAAATAAATAAAATAATAATTTTAAGGACATAATATATTTTAGAAAAAAATATTATATGATTTTGATCCCAAAAAAATGACATCATATCAAGTCAATAATATTTTTAAATATTTTAGAACCAATAATTTAGTGGGACAAGTATGAAGACATTGAAGGGGTAGCTTTGTGCAATAAATATTCAAATTGAGCAGCACATAATTAATTTTTAGGGAGAATACGCAATTACTTTTTAGATTATGACTCCGAAATCTCAGAGACAGACTTTAGTTCTAAGGTTTTATTCCCCTGAATTTTTTTATTTATTTTAATTTTATATATTTTTTGTCTTATGTAGCACATTATTAGTTCACGCAATTCATGAAGCGCATGAAAGATATTTGAATATCACGTGAGTTAAAAAGGTACACAAAATTATTAAAAAATAAATTTAAGAGAATAATAAAACCTTAATTTAGTTAATATATATCTTTGAGATTTTAATCATAACATAATAGAGTACTTACGCATTTTCCCAAGATGAGATTAGAAGGTGATTGATCACGTAGAAATTAATTTAATTTTGTGATGGCCATGTGGCTCTTAGATTTTTTGGTAGTGCAAGAAAGTGAACATTATAAAGTTTGACATTACAAGTTAATTAGAAAAAATAGTTTTATATATATATGTGACAGACATATGTAAACTTTGGAAAAGATAGGTGCATGATTAAAAAAAATGTATCTTAAATATAAATTTTATCTATTTGATTTTTAAATTTTTAATATGAATTAATAAATTTTAAAAATTATAGATTCAGAATATATAATATTACTAGTTTTAAATTTTAACATCAGGGCTGACCCATTCTTGGCCGGATGTACCAAGCGACACCCCTTCGCTCAAAAATTATATTATACATAGACATCAAATTTTAATTTTAAAGATATATATATTAGCATTAACACCATCTGACACGAACGAAAGGTTTAATTTAGTGGTTAAGATGTTGCAAAAGTTTCTTAGGGTCGATAGGTGCAAGCCTTGTTCGGCCTAATAATTTTTTTTTTATTTTCTAACTACAATTATTGTCACCGCGTCATGCTTTCATCACTGTTTTAACATACGCATCTGATTTAATTATATAAAAATTTTACAATGCTAAACATTTTAGAATTTTTCAATGTAACACACTTAATATTTTTGAATAATTATTGAAAAAAACTAAAAAAAGAAATTAGTTAACTATTATATAATCTAGTAAAAAAATATGAATTCACGTTAACCCACGACGTTCCCTCGAAATACGCCATTTAACTCAAATTAAATATGGTGCTGAGAATTCCACGTTTTTCAATTAGAGAGTATTGCATAGAAAAATATCAAAGATCGTTTTGGGAGTTCTCTCTCCAATAATTGCATTATCTTTTTATTTGTCATGTTATTTTTTTGAAAGTTAATTTAAAAATTTTTAAAGTTAAATTAAATTATATTAATTTAATATTTTAAATAAAAAAATTAGATATTCAAAAACTATATGAGAAGTGATATACATTGCATTTTTTTACATATCAATATGATGAAAAAATATATCGTAAAATGTTAATCTAAACTTTTATAATTTGATCCAAAAATAAAAAATATGACAATTAATAGTAAACAGAGAAAGTATAATTCAACAGTAAGAACTTTCGAAAACAATACGTAAAAGTATATAAAAACATATTATTCAAACATATTTAATGTGGATGATCACGAAGATGAATTTAAAATTTATGAATTTATATAGGAATTTCGAACTAATAATTATAATTAGAGATATAACAATAAAAAATTTATAAATATTTGATTAAATTTGTATAAAAGTCACTAAATTTATTTAAATAGAAAATTTAAATTTTAATATATTTTTATACGATTTTAAGTTATTATATAGTATATAATAACTCACACCGTCTTGTTAAATTTTCAATGTATAATTAGTCTATGTAAAAATTATTAAATTATCGTGAATTCATATACTATACTCTGAATTTTTATTTATTTATGTGAACATATAATTCAAATTTTAGATCTGCCCAATACGCGTGAAGAAAATTTAAATTGTATTATGGTAGACCATAATTATTTAATGTTGCAGGCAAAGTGGTTGTAGCAAAAAATAAAAAATACAATAATATGTTTACTGCCGTTGACTGTTTACATTATGATTTTCATATGATTATAAATAGTTTTTTTTTAAAAAAAATAATCATAAAAAGTAACATGATAACTATAATTTATAAATAGTTTAAGTTTTTGTGTGTTGGTATTATGTATTTATTTGTTGTCAACTTAAAATGATTTAATTTTTTTTACAAATAATAGTAAATTATAATATTTGGGGTGTAAATGAAAGGTATAGTACGTCTTAGAATTTGAGAGGTAAGCCTCGAGCGTAAAAGCAAAACCTCTGAATGCAAAAATATATAAATTTATTGTTTGGTTGTTCGAAAAATATTTTCCTATTGTTAATTATTATTGATGATGATATTTATGTTGGGATATACTATTAATCCCATATGTTAAGAAATAATATTTAGCAAGAAAACTAACGTGTATTTTTCAGTTGAAGAAAAATAACGTGTGTTTTGATTCTCCTCTTTGGACTGGAAAGAAATCTCTATAATCAGGAATTCTTCTAATCCTACAAGATGGAAGTTTTCTATTTATGCTTGTCCGTATTGAGAGAGTTCAGATGTAAACTTGGGATCTCTGTGCCATAGCTATTGTCTATCTTGTAGATTCGCTTGAAAGTCTGTCTAATTTAGAGATTCGCTTTAAGGTATCTGCTAATGTTTTAAGAGGTATTTATCGAATTAAATTAGGACAAGTTTATGTGTTTTAACATAAACGGTATTGATTATCTATTACTTCATGCAAATAGTAAAGTTCCTAATATACTTTCGCTGTGCATATTAATTTTTTCAATAATTGACATCAAGAGCCATACTTAGCGGTGCAAACACATGTTTGGTCTTGTGTGATTTTAAAATTTGTTTTTTATTTCTTAATTACAAAGGAAATTGTTGATAATGTAAACTAGGTAATGTGAAGGCTGATTTAACATATTAAAATTAAATGGTTTCTACCAATTGTTGTCCAGATTGCTTCAATTTTATTCAATTTAATATGCTTCTCTTAGTTACCTAATTACAATTTAAAATTCACATGTGTGCCTTGTTTCTTCAATAATTAGAAAGTTTTTTCTTATTTGTATGGGCATAAAATTTCTCTTTCTCACATGTATATAATAACACGTAAATATATTAAGAATATTATAATTAATAAATGGTTATCATTAAGTGGTTTGTTTATTTGATTATTAGAAGTTCTTAATATTATATATATATATATATATCTGAGATTACAATATGTGAACTGATAATAATGATAAATAAATAGGATCTACGAAAGTTATCTATTTATTTGAATCGTTAAAAATATTCTTAATATATCATGTATGGATTGTTCTTCATAAATGTATACTAGTAAATGTTTGTTGGATTTACTATTAGATACTAGTAAATTCTCTAAAAGAATTTGAATTTTTATAATAAGAGTTTGTCATTAACCAAATTTTTTATATACACAAGAGGAGCCTAATAAGGTCTTTCACCGGAAAGGAAAGCGCCAAAAAATAAGGAAATTAAGTTAAGCCGGATTTCTCGTCACTTAAATTAATTAATGAGAAGAAATACTAAAGATTTTCATCAGTTTAAAGGAATAAATATAGTATCTTGAATTCTCGAGTGTATTAATTGAGAGAACAATATGTTGTAAAGAGGTTAGTTATGTGTCTTAGCAGAAAGACAGGATACAAAGTATGTTTTGTACTCATGAGATAATTATTAAAAAGAGAATAAAAATGTGAATCAAGTTGTTTTAATTTTTAACTATGCTTGAAACAATTATTTTTTCAAATTTGGTCATAGTTAAGGTGGTCATGAATTTTATGACATCTGATTTACTTGATATTTGATGGTTCCAACGAAAATTGTTTTGATGGTTTTAGATAGTTTGTCGGATTAAAATTTGATTCAAGTATGATAAGGTCATTCTTTATATCAGTTATGTTTATGCTAAATTTGAAACATGATTACACATGGTGATTTAATATGAGT